CCGTGCGACATCTTCGACGACGAGGACGATGAAAGGCAGGAGGTGGGGAGAAATATCGAAAGTTGAAGCGGAGAGAAAAATACCGGGTTCGCTCGGGAATAACGTGGCGCCCGGAGAGTTTCGGGAAAATAAAAACGGGCGTCGTCCAGAGTGGCGATCGCCCAAGGTATAATAATTTCGGGGAACTTTCTTTCCTTCTCCTACTATCTCTCTCTCTCTCTCTCTCTCTCTCTCTCTCTCCTACCCACCGCTTCATCTCTTTCTCTTTACTCTCCCCTTTTTTTTTCTTCCCTTGCTAGTCTAGAAAGTATACGTCTTTCCTTTGTTACACGTTTACGAGTCTCCAAAGTAAAACCTCCACCCTCTGCCACGCTTCTCTCTATCTCTACCACCCTCCCCTCTCCGCCGCTCTACCTATCTATGGTTCTTGCAGCGTTCGTCTCTGCCGAGTGTAGCCGTGAAATAAATCCGTATATTCCGGAGGGTCTTAAATTCAACCGGAAATAGAATTTGTCCCGAGGCGGTAACGGAAGCCAATGGTTGGGCGGGAGGAAGAGCGAGAGAGGACGCGTGGAAATCGAGGAGGAGAAGAAAAAGCAGCGGGCAGCCTTCGAGGGAAGGATCCGTAAGGTCGCGCTCGAGAACCGTGTTCTCGACGGTGGAGGAGAGGAGAGAATAGGGCGGGTAGAAATGGGAAAGCTTCTTCTTCTCCACGTGCCGGCTTTCCTTTCTGAAACATCATCGGCGAGGAAAGAGAAATACCGGTTGAACGGGGGGGATGGTGGAATGGCTGCTGTGGAAAGGGAGAATTTAATTTTCCCGTAGGAAAACGAAAACAAACCCGGCTGATTTACGATCGGGATCGAGATGTTAAAATATTCGCGCTGTATTTTACGAGAGAGGGAAGCAACGAACGGCGTTGTAGTTGGTCCGTGGGCCGTTTCGAAGTCTGGTTCCTTCGAACGTGGCAACTGGAGGTTTCAGGTTGGATTAAAATTTAAAATATCGGCGTTAGATCTCGTTCGTTCCACCCAAGAAGGTGGAGGAGGTGGAAGTGGTAGAGGCGGAGGAGGAGGATGAGATGCAAGGTTCAAAGGACGTTTTATAATGCTCTCAGCGTAGACGGGAAGAAGTGCTCGTTAGAGGCAGCGGCGAACGGTTGTGTAGTATCCGGTTGCACCTGTTCGAGTACTATTAGAGACGGCTTAAAATTTTCACGAGCCTCTCGAGGAAGGTGGGGAAGGGGGGTCGGACCTCTCTTCTTCTGGCTGCCGAAATCTGCAATTTGGCGGGATCCATCGTAAGCAGGCACCACTTGGAAAGAAAGTCTACGTTGGGAAGAGAATAGAGAAAAAGAACGAGGCCTTTGCACGGTGAAGAAGGTGGCCAACCACCTCCTGAGTGCAACCCGACCCCGCTGCCAGACGATCCTCTCTCCTCCTCGTCGTGTTTACATCTGCTTCGAAGGAAGCAAAAGTAAGGAAAAAAATGGGAAACCGTGGTGGTGGCTTATCAAAGGAAGGCTAGAAGATACTCGGCCCTCTTCTTCTCTCAGATTCCTCCTCGAGCGCTCGGTCCTCTCTCCCAGCTCCTTTTCTCTCGACGCCGAGCTGTTTTCGGCAATTGCTACCGGGTCTTGTCAAAAAGTTGAAAGAGAGAGGCTGGTGAAAAGAGGCACTACGGATTTCTAGCTTGCGACCAGGGCTAT